AAAGAATAGATCAATAGAGATATATTACTGTGTTGGCGTATCTTATCCCTATTGCTATTCCGATACACGAAATTATTTATTACTATTAAAAATTAAAACTATTACGAAAATTATTTAATATTATTAAAGACTATTCGAAACTATTTGTATTACTAAGATTATTTGAGAAATTATTTATTATAAAAAAAAACATAAGAAAAGTAATTATAATTATTAGGATTATTACGAAATTATTTGTTATTAAAATTATTACGAAATTCGTTAAAATATTATATAAATTAAAGTTTTTGCGAGAGGAGGAATCCTCTTTTCTTCTTTCCAACCACAGCTATTTTATAATTTTTCTTTCTGTTTGCCTTCATTCTCTGTCATCCAAAAAAACGTTTTCGTACCAGGATAGTTATTCTGGATGATGGATGACACACAAAGATAATTCATCCCCGTGACTTTTGTCCTTTCAATATTACATATTAACTATAACTGATTTACAAATTTTGCAACCTCTAACTTTATATTTATTAAATTATTGTTCTCTAAACATTATACTCTCACAACCATTTATTGCAGAGATGCTTTTTTAATATTTAATATTGACAGGATTTTAATCTTCCAAAATTTTGTACGCATCGAAAATAGTATAGTGTAACCTTTATTAAAAAGGAAATTATTTTTTTACAACTTAATTTTACTAATAAAATTTTAAAATTTAATTTATAGTCTGAAAATTTGAATTTTATTTAATGTTTTTATTGAAAATTCGACACTCTAAAATGTATTGGGAGGTGAAAATCCCAATTAAAACAAAAAAATCGTTGGCTATACAAGTGAGTATCATAGTAAACCTCCCTATGCAGATCCCTGATATGACCAGGACTGTTAATTAAACAGTCCTTTATAAAAAAATAATTCCTTGTTATGATTGCTATTATTAAAAATGATTATATTTATTTTATATATATCTATAATAATAATAAATCGAACGTATATAGGGGTGGAAATAGAAGAAAGAGGAAGAAGAGGAAATTTTTCTTTCTTGTGTGAAAAAGAATTTTTTTTTCTTACGCAAGATTCATTATAAATGTGTTTGTCTAATAAATATAGATGAATTTGCTTGATTATTATATTAAAAGGTAAATAAATGATTATTATTCTATAAAGAATATAACTTTTCTTTACCTCAAGAAATTGACTTTGCTCACTAAATTGGGATTTGATTCTATCCTTTCGATTAATGCGCTTTCCCATGTGTGATAGCCCAACTAGTAAATACGTCAATATCGGTAGTCACTGTAGCAACGGAATGTACTTACATCTGAAGACTTTATTTGTCATAATTTTTTCTCCTTAAGTATATATTATTATTCCAAAAAGCATTCACTTCGACTCGACTATTTCAATTATTAATGTGAAATTACAAGTGAAAGCTGATAGGAATCTTGTTATCAGAATATCTTGATGATCCACAATATCCAAAATCCTTATGGGATGCAATTTCACCTAATCGATCTACAACAACTTCTTTAATGCATTTGCATGACTGTTTTCCTGATGGAATATTCTTAAATAGTAATAAAGTTGGTGGAAGGAGAAGATTAGGAATCACAAAAAATTCAAATAACCAATAAGAAACCCTTAATAAATTGTCCAACATGAACAAATCAGGAATGAAAATAGAATAAGTCAAAATGTATATGAAATAAATAATAATTAACAATAAATATTATTTTTTCATATTGAAAAAGAAAATAACAAATTTAATTTTTTATCTTTGCTTATATTGAGCTTAAAAAAATAAGTTATGTTTACATATAATTTAAAAAAAGTGGGTTCTTTTTTATAAAGTTTAAAGCTTAATGCATAAGAATCTTAGGTTAAATTTAGAAAAATAAAATGTTAACAAATAATCGGACAAAAAATTTTATTTTTTTGTAAAAATATGATGCTGTGTCAATAATTTCCTTCTTTTCTTGCATAAACGGAACAAGTGTCGTGATAAGTATCAAACTTACGGAATTCTTTAATTGAAATATCCAGATTATTATCAAATTCCTCTGAACTTATCTTCAAAACTTCCTGCAAAAAAGGCTTTGCATGAGAAAATGTAAGCCTGCAATTTTCTACAGCCTGTAAGAATTAATTCTTAATTTTTAATAAAAATGTAAAAAAAATCATCTGATGATTATGATAAAGATTAACTTCATAACTTCATTACCGCTTGACCTAGTTTGCCAGTTTCGGGACCATATGGTAACCGATTCTTTTCTTCTGAAATTTTTTCAAGATTTTCTTGTTGTTCAAAATATGGTTGCAATTTGCAAACTATTTGTGTATCGAAACCTTTTAGTTGGAACATTTTATCAACTTTAAGAATATTATTATTTATTATTATTATATTCGCAGAATTCAAAAAAAAAAAAAATAATAAAATTATTTGTAAACCTTTTTTTACCTGCATTGAACAATTGGCTTGTAACGGGACCCATTTGAAGAGGTATAATATTAATTTCCACTAACTTCATTATAATGAATAAATTCATGATATTAAATTCCATTATTCTTTGTTCCATTAAAATGTGAGTTTTTATTACCTCCAGATATCCTCCCGGTTTCAAAACTCTAGTCAATTCTTTGATAACATCAGGCCAACTTTCTTTAGGAATTGCTGCACACAAGAATCTTTGGAATACATAATCAAAAGTATCATTTTCAAATGGTAATCCATTTAAAAGATTTGCTTTGACAAAATTAACATTTTGAGGTTTTATTTCTGAAGGTTGAATGGGTGATATGTCCACTCCTGTAATTTGAGTATTAGGATAATCGGATGCCATCTCAAACATCCAGGAACCTGCGCCACAGCTTTCATTAAAATGAATTAATTTGTGAATAGTAAACTTAGAAAGGAAAAACAAAATTTAGTGAAGGTAATATGTTATAAATATATACCCAACATCAAGAACTTTTGAGCCATTTTGATTCAAAACATGTTTGACGGGCGCTGCGAAATTTCTCTGCCAAACGTATCGAAGTAGAAAATGTTGTTGATGTAACCTATCCAATTCTTCATCATCATTTGGAAGAGGATATTTCACATTTTCAACATTATGATATCTTCTACCATTAATATATTTAAAATCAGGATTTTCTTGAATATTTATTGAAGGTAAGGGTTTACTTTTTTTCAATGTTTTAGAGAATTTAATTCCCATATTTTAAAAGAATGATATTGTAATAAAAATATTATAAACAAAAAAATATTCGATATGATTAAACATAAAATACAATTCAAAAACATAAAACACGAATGTGTCTGACAGTTATCTATTAATGATGATAGTAAATTCCGATGCAACATCACACTATGCAAACAATCATGAATACTTTAGTTTATTTATTAGAGAAACAAGTATATTGTGTATACATATACGCAAATATTCATGGACTTACTAATTGCTTATTGAAAAGGGTTTATTTACACAAATACAATTCCAAGATCTGTTTACAATATTAATATAAATGTACTTAATTGTTTACATTTTTTACTCTTGATCTGAGTTGAAGTTTTCCATATCTATAAAATGTACTATTTTAATTGAAGCAATTATAATTGAAACAACATATTTTTTCTAGATAATTATTAAATATTATTATACAAGAAAAATATTAATATTAAAACATACCTTTATATTAATTTCAATAGAAATATCATCCATTATTCAAAGGAACAAAACAGAAAGTCAAAACAACCAACAAAAACACTGGTCGACTTGTATATTCTTACCAATGAAATTTTCATTCAATTCTGTGAAAAAGGGGTGGAAATGAAAAGTGCAAAATAAAAAACGGGGAAGATAAAAAAGAAATGGGAAGAATAAGAAAAAAAGAAGTCACTACTGTTTATTTGTCAAATCATGTTCTTGTACGTTTATCCAGTATTTTCACCCCACGTGAGATCTAGAATTTTATTGGTGAAAACTATCTGGTAACAAATATTGGAGGCAGAATTTTTTGCGTGACACAGTCATATGGCGCATTTTTGGAATTAAAAAATAATAGGTTACACAAATTCCACAACCGTTGACTCTAATTATATATGTGTGAAAATAGTATACGAAAAAATAGTATATGAAATAATTAGAACAAACTAATTAAATTTAGGAAATTTAAGAAAAATTTATTAAAAGAAATAATATAATAATTATTTGCGAGCAATAAGACGAAGTTTTAAAAATTATTTTTTTTTGTTTCAGCGAGGTAAAAAAAGAAAAAGCCTTTTACATTATTTTCATAATACAAAAATGCACAACTTATTCTGATACTTGAAAAGATGAAACTCAGACTAACTCATATGAGACGTTGTTACAGAATGAAATTATCATGAAAAAGTATAGTATATAATACTAGAAACACCTGCAGATAATGAATAATAATTTTAGCAAATAATAGTATTTAAAATTTAATTAGTAAATATTAACTCATGTAACAAATAGTAACACTTTAATAATTTTTCAACTAATATTTATAGTCTGTAACATACATTAATTAGTCGCGGAATAGTAGTACAATATCACGTGTTCACGTGATATTTAGTTACACAAACATAACTATCAATTCATAACATTAATTATTATCACTTAACATTATTTAACAATAATTTTCAACATACAGTATAGTATTAATTAGTATTAAATATATTTAGTAAATAATTTAAAGGAATAGTAACCAATGATAGTAGTGCACAGTAAGACACAGGAGGCACAGGAGGCACAGTAATGAAGATCATTAAATTTAGATATAAAAGTGACTAAAATTACCTTGTCCCTTTTTAGTTTACAATTTTATAATTTTGAATTTTGATAATTTGTAACTTATTTGAAATTGATAAATTTAATTTTA